GTTAACTAGCTACCATCCGTTTAGTACATCAGTTCCCACTATTCAGTCAGACAAAGGTACGCCCTGGATATAGCGATGGGAACTGTTAACTAGCTACCATCCGTTTGGTACATCAGTTCCCACCCTTCAGTCAGACAAAGGTACGCCCTGGATATAGCGATGTGAACTGTTGACTAGCTATCATGAGTTTGGTACATCAGTTCCCACCCTTCAGTCAGACAAAGGTACGCCCTGGATATAGCGATGGGAACTGTTAACTAGCTACCATCCGTTTTGTACATCAGTTCCCACTATTCAGTCAGACAAAGGTACCCCCTGGATATAACGATGTGAACTGTTGACTCGCTACCATCCGTTTGGTACATCAGTTCCCACTATTCTGTCAGACAAAGGTACGCCCTGGATAGAGTGATGTGAACTGTTGACTAGCTACCGTACCTTTGTCTGACTGAATAGTGGGAACTGATGTACCAAACGGATTTATGATTGATGTAGTTAATAGTAATAATCATCACAGTTGAAGTTAGTGTCTTCACAGTTGCTTTACGTTGACGAAATCGCTGAAATGCTGGTTATATAAAGCTGTTTTTTATTTAGCTTATTTTTCTCCTTATCAAATAAATCCTTCACTTCAATGCTTACAAACGTTAAATGTAAAATGCTATAAATTAATGTGGTTAACTGTGCTGCTCTTGTACTTGACGCGTTTAGGGATGAAATTTAAGAAACACTTGAGTACAGTTAATTCTTACTAGACGTAAACTGATACATTAACATTTGAAGCACAGTTTGTTCTTCCTAAACGTAAGTTAACATGACAATATTTGAAGTACAGTTTGTTTTTACTAAACGTAAATTAACATGACAATATTTAAAGTACAGTTTGTTTTTACTAAACGTAAATTAACATGACAATATTTGAAGCACAGTTTGTTTTACTAAACGTAAATTAACATGACAATATTTAAAATACAGTTTGTTCACATTAAACGTGAAGTAATACGATAAAACTTGAGACACAGTTCGTTATTATTCAACGTGAAGTAATACGATAAAACTGGAGACACAGTTCGTTATTATTCAACGTGAAGTAATACGATAAAACTGGAGACACAGTTCGTTATTACTCAACGTAAAGTAATACGATAAAACTTGAGACACAGTTCGTTATTATTCAACGTAAAGTAATACGATAAAACTGGAGACACAGTTCGTTATTATTCAACGTGAAGTAATACGATAATACTGGAGACACAGTTCGTTATTATTCAACGTAAAGTAATACGATAAAACTGGAGACACAGTTCGTTATTATTCAACGTAAAGTAATACGATAAAACTGGAGAACAGTTCGTTATTATTCAACGTGAAGTAATACGATAAAACTGGAGACACAGTTCGTTATTACTCAACGTAAAGTAATACGATAAAACTTGAGACACAGTTCGTTATTATTCAACGTAAAGTAATACGATAAAACTTGAGACACAGTTCGTTATTATTCAACGTAAAGTAATACGATAAAACTTGAGACACAGTTCGTTATTATTCAACGTAAAGTAATACGATAAAACTGGAGACACAGTTCGTCATTACTTAACGTAAAACGATAGTATTTGAGATACAGTTCGTTATTACTCAACGTAAAGTAATACGCCAGTATTTCAGATACAATTCTGCTAGTTCTTACTGTATGGTTGTGGCGATTGGATATAAATCGTTGTCCTAGTCAATAGTTTATATGATACTCTAAGTTAAATTATCAATTAGTCAGTGATATTTTAGCAGTGATATTTATATAGGATAAAACTAATTAGTAATAATATTAATAACTAATCAATAATTGAACTTGATCATATTAGTTACTAACCCTAACACAGAATGTTTTCTGCAAGGTATTTTACCTTATTTCTGTAGGTTTTAAGAAGCCCATTGTTACACGATAGTGGCGACACACTTACATGAATGAACACATTAATTTCGAAACGTGGATATTTTTATCTATGTAGCACCAAAGTCCACAAAAGCTGGTATCTGATGGTAATAGAAATATTTTTTGATGTTGCCGCGTTCCTCTCAGTTATAAAAAAGAAGAGCTGAGGCAACTTAGATCTTTTGGTGTTTTTTTTATTTATTTACAATTCTCTAATTATTTAAAGCAACTTAAAAGTTATCATATGCTGTACAACTATTAGCTTATAATTAAACACTTAACAATTAGGCCCGGCACGGTGAGGACGCTCGACTCGCAATCTGCGGGTTCGAATCCCCATTCCCCCAAACATGCTCGCCCTTTCAGCCGTGGGGGCGTTATAACGTAACGGTCAATCTCACTATTCGTTGGTAAAAGAGTTGGCGGTGGGTGGTGATGACTAGATGCCTTCCCTTTCACTGCTAAATTAGGGACGGCTGGCGCAGATAGCCCTCGTGTACCTTTGCACAAAATTCATAACAAACAAACAAACAAACTTAACAATCGTTGATGCCTACCGTACCTTTCAATAGTTTGCGCATGCTCGAAACTTTAACATTTGCTTATAGAGCAAAGACAGTGAGCTATCTGCCGTGTTCACCGAGGGGAATCGAACCCCGGATTTTTAGCGTTGTCAGTCTGTAATTTTACCGCTGTCCCACCATTTGCTTATAGAGCAAAGACAGTGAGCTATCTGCCGTGTTCACCGAGGGGAATCGAACCCCGGATTTTTAGCGTTGTCAGTCTGTAATGTTACCGCTGTCCCACCAGGGGAGACTTTCAAGTGGGAATATGAGTAAAAAAAGTGTAATTTTTAAATATAGCCAGTGATAAATGCTTTATACTGTTTGTATCATTATAGTACCATGATTAACCCGAAGACAGAACATTTTGATTTACAAGTTAACGGTTTTCTGCGCATGATCAGCAGTGTACAGGTTCGTAGATTGTTTGTTTGTTTGTTTTGAATTTCGCGCAAAGCTACACGAGGGCTGTCTGCGCTAGCCGTCCCTAATTTAGCAGTGTAAGACTAGAGGGAAGGCAGCTAGTCATCCCCACCCACCGCCAACTCTGGGGCTACTCTTTTACCAACGGATAGTGGGATTGACCGTCACATGATAACGCCCTAACCACCTGGCCATGCCGGGCCTAGGTTCGTGGAATGCATAGTGTTCTAGTGAGAGAGGTTGATTGAAAGAAAATAACAGTTGTTTAGTAGGTTTCTAGACAATCATTTTGATGAGAACGTTTTTGATATCTAGTCTTAACAAAGATAAGTTGAAGTAAATAATATAATATCAAAAAATCGTCAGGTTTGTTAAAATGATGAAATTAACAAGTCGATCGTTATATACGATGCTCAGAGGCAGAAATGTTAAAACGATAATTAATGGAACATCTTTCTTTTT